ATTACAGGCGGTTCATCATATGACTTGCTTAAAGGGGAATTAGAAAACTGTAATTGTTGGTTTCGATGTGAATGCTTGGATGTATCAATAATTTTTGAATGAGAACTTAAAGCGCTTAAGGTTATCTAAGAACAGATAGTGAAATTTATCGCAATGGAAAGAGCAGGCTTTACGATACCATTGAATTTCACTAAATACTACCTCCCAAAAGGCATTCTCATTCAGACTGGACTTCAGCTTTGACCCCTACTGGGCTTCATTAGTAACCTCAAAGAGATTCGTGGCTGCGTCGTGTGCATCGCTTGGAAATATCACCACCTGCCTAAACAGCCACGAATAAAATGGGTCGCAGGACAAATGCTACTTTTTAGGCAAGCTAGGCTCCTCCAAAATCTTATTTTATAGTGCGGTTGTAGATAAGGCAAACATGTATTTGTCATAACAGTGTACGATGCTACTTATTTTTTACGGGAGTATACTTATTATTCAAGAATTAGTGATAATTAATACACATACACTCAGGAATACGCGGTACTTCGTAGATTATAATGACAACCATGTGTTTTCCTTATCGAATATACAACCATAAATGTGATTTGACAAAGGTCCGGCTTGCCATAAAATTTACATCCACTGTGTGGCCCATCAGCACTTTTGAATAGTAGAGTTATAGTGTCTTCACGAATTGCACTAAATGATTTAGAATCTAGTTTTGGAAGTGCTGATGAGATATAGGTGAGATCGAAACTGTAGTGCAGATTGGAGGAGAATAATTTAAAGGAGACAATGATAGGAGACTGCGACCATACAAAAGGCCACACCATCTTGGTCTTTATGCATTCAAGGATAGTAATCTTTAATGTCAGATGGGAAGTACGGTGGTCTTTCGATTCTAAGTTGCGAGTAATGCACCATGAGGCTGCTAATAACCGTTAACTTTATATGGTCTGTAGAAGAGTAAAAATTATTGGAATAACAATTTTTGTTCTCAAAGTATATACAAGAAAGAGTTAGGTTTGGAGAAAACGTGTATCTTCACATTTTTAAACGCTCGATTCAATTTCAGGATATGAGCTTGCAACCATGAAAATCAAGTTACGAAACCTCTTATCCTAACCTTTCATTATAGGGTCATTAACGTGTAACCCTCCAAGGAAAGGCATGATTGGGGTTGCGTAATCTGAAATGTCTGGTTTGGTTGATAAGCTTACTCTAACCTGTTGGACAAATGTGAGTGAAGTTAGAACCATCACCAAGCAGACAAATTGTGTCACCTTCTATTTGATGGCGGCTCAACACCCTTTCTCTTTCAATCTATCAATCAAGCTTTAATAGTTCCTACTCAACTTTATACCACCGTTCCTCACATTCAATGTATTTTCTAA